AGAAAAAGGTAATTTTAAATCTTTTAATTAATGCAAAGATTATTTGTTTGCAAAACATTAAAATAATTTTATATTCCCTATAAATATAAGACTAAGCTTAAACTATATAGGTATTGATGATTTAGGTGTTTGTGGTTATATATAATAATATTTAACTAAAAAATAATACATTTTACTTGATAATGAGTTAAATATTTCAGATATAACGAAAAATTTATATATATAACTATTTGCATAAATAAATTAAGAATAAAGTTTATTTATATTATATATATATATATATATATAAAATAAAACATATGTATATATATATATATATATTTATATTTATATTTATATTTATATTTATATATTTTTTATTAATTAATTTAGATGATATAAAATAATATAATATAGCATAAATGATTCCTACTATAGCAGCTTAAATATAATTGAATTGCATAGATAATTCTTTATAATATACATTAATGATATCTCCTAAAAGCTTAAAATAATTTAATTTTTTTAAGTAGAGTTCATACACAATTAAAGAATATTTTCATAAATATACTAGATATTTACTTCCATAACGTTTTTTATACAACTAAATAAAATTTAAAATTTTAACAATAAAATCTTAATATGGTTCTTAATATTAGTAAATAAAAACTTAAAAAAATTTTTTTTATATATAAATAGGGTTATAGAAATTATAAATATAAAAAAAATTAATTGTTCTGATATTTAAGAATAAGAAATAGATGTTTTAATCTAAAATTTCAATAAAAAATTCTAAACAAACATATAATAATAATAAACACCTTAAAACTTAAATATTTCAGATAATAACAGCCTTTAAAATATAGATTAATTAAATAATTCACATTAAATTAGCATTTATTCAAATTAAAAAAGTATAGATTAAAATAATTAAAAAGCTTTTAAAAAGAACAACTTAGATTTTACTTCTTTAATAAAATTATTAAAAAGCAATGCAATTGTTTATAGATTTATTAGAAAATTAAAGAATAAATAAGAATAATTAAGAAAAACTAAAATTTCATTATACGATGATTCTCCTAATAATTTTAATTAAAGTATTTAGATATAATAATAATAGAATTAATATGAATAATAATAATAATAATAATAATAATAATAATAATAATAATAATAATAATAATAATAATAATAATTAAAATAAATCAAAATTGAGAAAAGTAAATTTTACTAAAATTTTGCAGACTCAAAATAATAATTTCATGTAAAAATTAATTATTCAGAAACAATATAATAATAGTAATTTAGTAGAAAAAGTAATTCATAAGCACAAATAATCTCTATATCTGATTTAAATGTTTAATTTTAATCTTGTAAAAAATTAGAAATATATATAAATGGAACTTAATAAATCTAGGAAGAATAAGAAAAAGAAAAAAAAAAATATTTTTATCTTAAAAAATTTAAAAAAGTTAAGAAATAGGATATATTGACTTAGTTGATTAATAAAACGTAAATGGAGCACCAAGTTAAAATCAGCAATAAAAAAAATATGTTTTATATGCAATTAATAATAATGAAAAATTACAAATTATAACTTTTATATGTAAAAAAAGTTTATATATTAATATAAACATATATTAAGATATATATTTAAATTATATATTTATATATAATTTATAACATAATTGTATTTTATGAATTTTATATATTTTTATTTTATAGAATTAGCTGGTATTCTTGCATTTATTATTATGATTTCCTTATCTACATAGCTTTTAATATATTTAAATACTATTTTTATTGATAATATTAACAATTTTAGCGATTTAATTTTAGGATTAAAATTATAATCTTATTTTATGAACATTGTAAAAGAAACTGAGACTTTAAACATTTTAAAACTCTAAAATTTCGAATATTTTAAGGACTCTAAAATTTTAATAAATTAAATTTAATAAAAAACTTAAATTTATATAAATAAGTATTACCTCAGTTATTTTATAAAGTAAAATTAATATTTTTTTTTATTTTTAAAAAATATAAATATAAATAAATAGGATGATAAAATAAATCATACACTATATCTTAATAATTAAAAAGTTTTAATAAAATATAATATTAACTATACTTAATTTCCCAATTAAATGGCATTTAATAGTACTTTTTTTTTAAACTACGCTATATTATTATCATATAATTAACTATTCTATTATGCTTAAGATAGTTAAAACATTACTCCTGACCCAAATTTATCAAATAACGTGAATTTTATTAAAAAAAACATAAAAAATTATATGGGATATTTCTATAACCTTAAAAAATATGTCCAAAATTAGTCTTAAGAATAATTAATATAAATAAAATCGAACACAATATTAATCCTTTCAATATTCGAAGTAGTCGCTTTTTTTCTACTTATCTTAAGTTTTCCTATATATTATAAAATTCAAATATAAAGGGAAGCTCTATTAACTCTTTTTGCCACTTGGCCCTAAAATAAACTATAAGAACTAATCGAAGGAATTAATAATTATTTAATAAATATCTAAAACAATGATTAAATATAAGACAATAATAAAGACTCTAAAAACATTTCAAAAATAAATACCAATTTCATGAAAAAAAAAGTCATATCTAGTACAAATAAACTAGCGAAATTTAATAAAAAGCTACTTTTTGCAATTATGATTTGCTTTAGTTTTCTTTCTCTATATCCTTTTTTAAACCTGGTCTATGTTTTTGAATTTGTATAAGAATTTAGTTATAATGTAAATGAAATTTCAGAAACTTTCGATGTAATGAGTCTTATGGATACATAATATGGAATAAACTACATTTTAATATAATAAGCTTATGCTGGATTTAGTGACTTCGATAATGTTTTATATAAATTTTTATTTAGACTTGATAGGGCTTTTAATGAATAGTTAATTATTTATTATGATATGAAAAAAAACTTCATTGTGAAAAGATTTAATATGAATTTATATTTAAATTTTTTTATTTCGGCTTTAGAATAAAATATTTGTTTGACATTTTAAAATTTTCCTGAATATGTTATTGACGAAATATAAGTTTTTTTTTTTTTTTTTTTTTTTAAAAAAAAAGTATTTTTAATAATATATATAAATTAAATAAGTTCGACTATAATAGTTGTGATACTATATATAATGGAATATGGCACAAAGGGTTAATTTCTACAATTGAAAATATATTGAATATACTAATATCCCTTAAAGAATTATATTAAGATAAGCAAAATTTTAAATAAAATTTTATTTAATTTACTAAAGGTTATAATTTTTCTTAATTTAATTAATTATAAAGATAATTTACAGATTATACAACTGTTTTAAATACGTTTTTATTATAAATGACTTAAGAATATAAGAAATATATAACTTATATATAAATTATGCTTTATATTTATATTTTTATTGCGTTAACTTTTATTTATTATGCTTTTAAATATTATGTAGAGACTCTTAATAAATCATTATATGATTCTAAAAAATTAATAAGTTTATTTAAAGTAGATTATATTATGGAAAACCAATATATAATGAGTTATTTAAAAAAAGATATAAATAAAGCTAAAACATAATGAAATTATTAAAAAAAATATATATATATAAAAAAAAGCATAATTTTATATATAAATATATATTTTCATTATTGAATTATTGTCTATGATTCTAAAAAAGCATATTTTTTCGTTTTTTAATTACTATGAAATAATTCTTTATTAAAAAAATAATTCTATTAAGAATTATTATTATTTTTTTATTGAGAATATTTGTTATTAAGAGAAAAAAAATCTTATTGTTTTTTCCTTTTTAATTCACATTCTTAAATATACTAAAATAAACAAGAATTTTTAATATTTTCCTTTTTATTAAAATTATCCTATGAAAAATTTAGTCTTTATACAGAATTTTTATCAATATTAGAAACAGTATTATTATTATAATTTTACTTCTTTTTTTATATATTAATAAACTTATTTTTAAGCTATTTATTTTTTTCCTATTACAATTTATAAAAGTTCATAAATTTAAAAGCTTTGTTATTATCGATTTCCTAATTTTATTTATATTTTTAAAATTTTATTAAATTATCCACTTTTAAAAATCCTAAAGGTATTTTTTTCTTTTATTATGCAATTTCTTCACTACTTTTTTGCTCATCCCTTTTATTTCTTAATTAAAAAGAGTTAATTGCCTCAAAAATACTCTTTTTAGCATTTAAATATTTTTTATTTGTAAATTATAAGTTCTAAAGATTTTTCGGACTTAAATAACTAAACGAAATATTAGAATTTTCGTCATCCTAAGACACTTAATTTTCGTTTCTTTTAATTTTGGAAAGAAGTTTTACCTTAATTTTATCAAATAAAGGTGCTAAATTTGTTAATTTTTACATTTATTCGATATTTTAGATTTATTATCGCCTTTACATTAATTTATCTATTAATTATACTTTATCCTTTACGTTTTAGACTTTTTACAAAGCAAAGTTTATTTATTTTTTATTTGATATGTCTTTTATGCCATTGAATGCATTTTTTATTGATTATTGGCCTTTTGAATTTAGTATAGTGCTTTCACGACTATTTATTATATTTTTAAATTCAAGATTTTCATGTTTTTTTTTAATTTTAACATTATTTAGATTATTTGTAAAGAAAAATATTTAAATATAACAAAAAATATTAGTAAAATGATATTATTATGTTATTTAGTCTATAAAAATAAAATAATTTATTTATTTAAATTAATTATAAATTAAATTATTAAAAATACAAATTATAAAATATAATTAATTTATTAAAATTAAGAATATAAATTATATATATATTTTTAATATGTAATTTATAAAAATATTTTTAACAAAAACTTGAATTAAAATAAAAACAATTTCTTCTAAATTAAAAATAAAAAATATACATAAAAGAAAATTAAAATAAAAATTAATAAAAACACATATTAAAATTAAATACCACTAAAATAAACATAAACAAAAAAAAGGGAAAAAAATAAAAGATAAATGAAAACAAAATTAACAGAATCAATATCAAATAATTCAGAAATCGTAAAATGCTATCGTAAAACTAAAATGAGATATGTCGCATTAGCTATGGCCTGTTTAGTAATGATAGGCTCATATATGTGTTACGATTTCCCCAGTTATTTAAAAAGCTAAGTAAACAAATCATTAAACCTAACCGAATTCCAATACAGTCTTTTATATGCAGTTTATTCATTTCCTAATATAGCTTTACCATTATTCGGTGGAATATTTATAGACATAGTAGGAGTCCGTAAAGGAATTTTTATTTTTACTTTCATTTTAATTATTGGATAATTATTATGTTCAATAGGAGTATTACATTCAGTGAATAATTTTTCAGTAATTTTAGTAGGAAGAGTGATTTTCGGTTTAGGAGGGGAGAGTTTATCTGTAACATAGAGTAAAAAAAATAATAATATTTATTTAAATATATAAATATATAAATATATGAATTTATATATTTATATATATATTTTTAATTTTTTATATATAGGTGCAATTGTATCATAATGGTTTAAAGGTAAAGAAATTTCTTTGGCTTTGGGTTTAAATATATCTATAGCAAGATTAGGTAGTGTAATTGGTTCATTTTTATTCCCTGCTTTATATAATATAAATAAGGATTTATTTTCTCCTTTACTTGTTGGTGCTATTTTTTGTGTTTTTTCTTGGTTATGTGGTTGTGTATTGAATTTTTTAGATAAAAAAGCCGATTAATAAGAAGGTAAATAATAAGTTAAAATTAGTGACTAAGACAGAATTAAATTATCAGATTTTAAAGAATTAAATATTCAATTTTGGCTTTTATGTATTTCTTGTGTTTTTACTTATATGTGCTTTTTCCCTTTTATGTAGTTTGTTCAAGGATAAATTTCAGATTAGTTTGGACTATCTTCAGACAAAGCTTGTATAAATTTATAAAATACATTTTATTTTATTTTATTTTTTTAAAAAAGCTAATTTAATGAGTCTACCTTATCTCATAGCTGCCGGATGCACTCCATTCGCTGGTTTGTTAGTAGATAAAGTTGGTAAAAGAGGTCTTTTATTAATTATTACTTCAGTTTTGATGATAACCTCTCATTTAACAATGCTTATAATGCCTTAATGTGGCAATGGCGATCCTAATTGTTAATAATATACATTCTTATTCCCTTTAGTTTTATTCGGAATTTTCTATTCTTTCTACGCAGCTGTTTTATGGCCTTGTATACCTCTTGTAGTCCCCGAAAAGATAGTTGGGACAGCTTTTGGAATTACTAATAGTTTACAAAACGGAGGATTGGCTTTAGGACCTATTATTGTAGGTTTAATTATTGACCATACTAAGCATAAAATGAACGAGTATTTCTGGATGGAAATTTTCTTTATAATTTTTGGAGGATTGTGTTTAATTATTAATATTACTATTTATTGGATAGATATTAAAGGAAATAAAGTATTAGATTTAGCATTTAAAGAAACTACAGAAGATGATGAGCAAATAGAAGAATACAAAAAAAACTCATAAGCAGTTAATCCAAGAAGATCTTTGGCAGCTAAAAGATCATTTCGTGGTTGATTTTTTTTATTTAATAATAAAAAATATAATTTTTTTAATTTTATTATTATTTGTATTTGATCTTTATTATATGTGATTTTATTTTATGTGATAGATGATATATATTATTAAAGTAAAATAAACATATTAATTTAAATATTATAAATGTGTAGTATATTTTTATAAAAAACAAATAATTATACTTATAATCGTTTTTTTTAAAAAAGTTATTAATAGATATATATATTTTTTAGAGTAATTAATAAATAATAAATATATAAATTTTATAAAAAAATAAAAATTAAAATAATTTAATTTTATTTAATATATTAAATAATATATAATAAAAAACATATATTAATTAATCAATATAAAAAATCTATTAAATTTAAAAATATATTTAATATTAAATAAAAATTATATTAATTAAATTAAAAAATATATAAAAATTTAAATTTATTTATAAAATTATATATATATATATACAAATATATAAATATTATATTATATAAATAATATATTATTTAAATCAAATATAATGAATAAATTTTCATAAAATATTATGATTTTGATTATATTAAATCATATATTACAGTTTTAATATACTTATTATAAAAAAAAAAATTAAAATTTTTATATTAATTAAAGCTTAAATAGTATTTTATTTTTATTTGTATAATATTAATAAAATAATTTATTTTAAATAAAAAAAATTTATTGTAAATTTATAAATAAATAATATATTAAATAATAAAAATATATATATTTTTTTATATTAATTATATATTTTTAGAATTATACTTTTTAATAATTAAAATTTTATTTTTTATTTTAACTAAAACTATTTAAATAAATATAGTATTTTAAAAAATAATTTAAATGTTTAACTTTTAAAATTTACTTTTTAGATAATATATATTTGGGTAATTGTATATATTTTAAAAAAAAAGTTATTAAAAATATAAGATTTATATGAAATAATTAAAAATAATATATACATTTAAAAAAATAAATATATATTATTAAATTTTTATTGATTATATATATTAATTATAATAAATATTTATTGTGTAAATATTATTAATTTTTTTTTTTAAATAAATCAAATAAATTTATATATATAATTTTTATATAAATTATTATAAATATTTATTATAATTAATATAAATATTAATATTAAAATATGATATTTAATATATATATATAAATATTTTTATTAAAAAAATAT